TCCTTCCTTCCTTCCTTCCTTCCTTCTTTCTTTTCTTCTTTCTCCCCTTCCCTTCCCCTCTCCATCCCCTTCCCTCCCCCTCCCTCTCTCCCTCCCTTCTTTTTTTTCTTTCTCTCTCTCTTTCTCTCTTTCGAGTTTCACTCTTGTTGCCCAGGCTACAGTGCAATGGCATGATCTCTGCTCACTGAAACCTCCACCTCTCAGGTTCAAGCGATTCTCCTGCCTCAGCCTCCCGAGTAGCTGGGATTACAGGAATGTGCCACCATGCCCAGTTAATTTTGTATTTTGAGTAGAGACGGGGTTTCTTCATGTTGGTCAGGCTGGTCTCCAACTCCCATCTTCTGGTGATCTGCCCGCCCCAGCCTCCCAAAGTGCTGAGATTACAGGCATGAGCCACCATGACTGGCCATAATTTCTTTTCTTTTAAACCTTAGATTTGAGTAATTTTTGCTGGATTCTTCAAACATGAAGTATTTTTTAAAATGAAAACTAAGTGAATGACTCTAACTGGGAAGTGGAAGTCTTAGACCATTGACTAAAAGCTAAGGCCAATCTTGACCCTGCAAAAGGAGGCCACTGAAGGCCCAGTTGATTCTTTCTGGGGGTCTGACCTGCAGGTGTCCAAGCCTGATCACACCAACCATGGAAGGAACCTTTGTTACTGCCAGAAGATACAGAGCCTTGGAAAGTTGGAAGTTCACAGGCAGATGTAGTTGAGGTTGAGACAGAAAAAATGTTGGGAGACTCTTTCTAGAATGGAATTGTCATTGTCCTGAGACTGTTTCTAGAATTTGTCAAATAAAACTAATTTCGATTTACTTAAGAAGTATTGCAACAAAGAAAAAGTACAAATGATAAGATCTTCTCAAAAGTTAGGTGGAAAATGGCTTTATTTCATAGGGAGGAGAAAACAAGTGTACCAAGAAAGTTGGAAGGGAGGCACAGGATAGAGGGTAGCAAAATCAGATCCCAGATAAGATAATGTTTCACATTGAAGTCAGCCTGTTCTTAGAGGGGTATGTATAAATATGGGTAGTAGGTTCGCTCAGGCTGTGAGTGAGTCAAAGTTCAGGGACTGGTGGGAAGAAGAGAAACAAGCAAAGTTTTGTTAACAAGTACTTTGTTTTGACCACTGAAGACTAAATTACTGACCTGGTTGTTCTTTTTTAAAAATGAAAAATTTCAATCTGTGTCCAACTTTGTGATAGGTGAAAAAAAAGGGGGCATTCTCAAAGTCATAATGGGAAGCACATTTCTCTTCACTAAGAATGGGAGAATTTCTTCAACTATAGCTATTTCCAGGATTACATTCCCCCACCACTGTTCCTTGCCCTAGACATCTCTTCCATTTGTCTGTTTCTGAGTGGTATTTTTATAATAAATTGGTAAATATAGTTAGAGTTATTTATTGAGTTTTTTTTTTGAGTAGTTCTATCAAATTATTTAACTTGAAAAGGGGTGTATGGTAGTCTCAGATTTATAGGCAGTAGCTCAGAAGTAAAGACGGGATTCCAGGACATGTGACTCACCTCTGCAGTGACAGCGGTGATGTGGGACTGAGCCCTGATTTTGCGGGGTCCATGCAAACTCTAAGTTGTGTCAGAATTAAATTTTTGGGCAACATGTAGGTGTTGGAGAATCAGTTGGTTTCCAGGAAACTTTACACATTTAGAGTCAGAAGTATTGTAAAAAGAAAGACATTGTTGGGGCCTGGGCTAGAGAGAGACTGCAGATTCCTTGGGAAAGGTAGGCTCTGCTCTGCACACAGGCTGCTACACCATGCATTGCCCTGTGGTTCCAGCTGTCCTCCCAGGGTGAGAAGGACTGAGGACTCTGAGGGAAGAAGTCCTGAGAACAGATGCCTTCTACCCTCCTGCCAACCTGTGGCCACCACATGGTTTTCACCCACTGAACATACCCACTGCTGTTGATGTGGTCAAGTCCCTCCCAGGACAAGGTTTCGGCATCAAGATTGTTGCCCACGCTACCTTTCCTCATAGACTTTCACACCAAAAACCCACACACGTGCCTATAAGACTCCTGGCATATGCTCTACCTCAGACACCGAATCTGCAGTAGCAACCTGTTTTTTTTCACCATCACAGGCTTCTGTGCCCCCTGATCATAATCTCATCTTCCTGTGTGGATATAGAAATAAGTCAGAGCAAAGCCTCAGCTGGGTCAGCATCTGTAGCATGAACCAGTCCTTCCACCAACCCTGTACTGTCTCCCACTTGTGAGTTCTTAATAGCACCTTCCCCTCTTTTGCCTTTTAGTTCCCCACAAACCCTTTTTTTATGTGCACACAGTGTTCCCAAAACTGCTTCTCAGTTGCCTGAATCCAGCACCTACTAAAATTCAGATGTCCAGTAGTTCAAGACCATGGGCCTAGACCTAGTTTTTGCAGAACCAAATACAAATTAGAAATGAGAGTCTCTATTCTACCATTTGAAAATAAGAGAAGAGATTTTTTCTTTTCCCTTTTCTTAAACAATGTACTTTAGAAAACTTTTATTATTAATTAATTTTTTGAGACAGAATCTTACTCTTTTACTTAGCCTGAAGTGCAATGGCACAACCATAGCTCACTGTAACCTTAACCTCTGGGGTTTTAGCAGTCCTCCTGCCTCAACCTCTCAATTACCTAGGACTATCGGTATGCACCACCATGCCTGGCTAACTTTATATATATATACATTTTGAGACAAAATCTTACTCTGTGGGCCAGGCTGGAGTGTAGTGGCATGATCTCGGCTCACTGTAACCTCCACCTCCCAGGTTCAAGCAATTCTCCTGCCTCAGCCTTTTGAGTAGCTGGGATTACAGTCACACACCACCATGCCTGGCTAATTTTTTTTTATTACTATTTTTAGTAGAGACAGGGTTTCACCATTTTGGCCAGGCTGGTCTCAAACTCCTGACATCATTATCCACCTCCCTCAGATTCCCAAAGTGCTGGGATTACAGGCATGAGCCACCTTGCCCAACCAGCTTTATTTTATTTTTTTTTGTAGTGACAGAATCTCACCATGTTGCCTGTACTGGGCTTGAACATTTGGTTTCAAGAGACCCTCCTGCCTTGGACTCCCCAAATGCTGGGATTACAGGCATGAGCCACTGTGCCTGGCCTGGAAAACTTTTATATGTACCTTTTTTCTCTGCTTCTTTGATTTCTTTGAAATCATTTTAACAGCTAAATAGTCTTTTGTCATTATTTGTGACACAAAATTGTCTTTATCTAAGACCTGGAAACTATTGCTTTTTGTTTTTTAATTTGGCAAAGATTTATCTATTTTTTATTCTCAGTTTTTTAAAGTAGGCACAGCTAAGCACAGTGGCTCATGCTTTTAATCCTAGTACTTTGGGAGGTTGAGATGAGAGAATTGCTTGGGCCCAGGAATTTCAGACCAGCCTAGGCAGCATAATGAGACTCATTCTTTACAAAAAATTAAAGGCAACTAGCCAGGCATGGTGGCACAGGAGGCTGAGATGAGAGAATCATTTGAGCCAAGAGTTTGAGGCTCCAATGAGCCATGATCACTCCACTCTACCACTCTACTGCAGCTTGGGAGACAGAGGGGGCCCCTGTCTCTAAATAAATAAATAAATAAATAAATAAATAAATAAACAAGTAAATAAATGTGTGTGTGTGTGTGTGTGTGTATATATATATGTTTTTCCATACATCAAAATAAGTAAACAGAAAAATAAAATAGATAAAATAGATATGAGTTTGCTTAAAATAAAGGTAATTATAAGATAACAGAAAAGTGAGCACCAAGGATGGGGTTCACCCTAGCAAATGATTCTAGACTATTAGACATTCACAGAATATTCCCTTCAGCATGACGGACATGAAAGTAGAATGTCATCATCTCAGACTGTACCAGCGTCAGAAGGCTAAACACTGTGGGGAAGAATCTCCCTTATGGAAAATTATGAAAAGGTGAGAGCCCAGCTCCTGTCCTGATGGGCTACAGGGAAGAGTTCCTGAGATAACACATTGCAGAAACATGCATAGAGTAGTTTAACCTTTCTTTGTGTGTGTAACCCTTTCTCCATTTTCATGCAAAATCGTCTCTAGTAATAGCGTTAGATTTTAAGTTTTGAGGGTCTGGTAGGACTGGAGCTGTATGCTGCAGGGGATACCTGGGGCAGGAAACTAATACAAACTCCAGCCACATGCATAAATACGAACTAATGTAAAGTGAAAACAACACAAAAGTCTTTACCGTTATTCGCACAACTATGTGAACAGAGACACCACTGAGACTAATGAAGGCCAGATTCCATTGGAACAAGACTATGAGTTACTTATGGGAAGGCCGTAGGACAAAGCCCAGAGAGTTTTCATATTTGAGTCTGGGTCCTGGGTCTGTCCTGGTCTTCTTGGGTTTCTGTCTATAGAGACCCCTATGTGACTGCTCTCACCACAGCTCAGTGCTGACTGTGGTTGCTGGTGGAGTGCACCTGCTCTTTTTCCAAAAACAGGGAGGAGTTGGCCTCATCAAAGAGCTCCTTATTAATCTGAATGCAGCTCTGTAAAAAATGTCTAGAAGCCACGCAAAGAAAAAGCAGTGGTCTGCCTTGTTTTCATCATATGTGACACCTCCATTAGAAATTCTGCTTTTCTCTGCACTCCAGCCTGGGTGACAGAGTGAGACTCCATCTCAAATAAATAAATAAATAAAAATAAGTAAAATAAAGAAAGAAAAGAAATTTTGCTTTTCAGATTAGGCACA